TTGGGCCCCGTGAGAAAAAGAGGGGGGCCCGGGCAAAAGTGCAGAAATCCCCGGTCGGGGATTATTGGAAGTGACCGGGGATTTTTCCCTGAACGAAACGGTGCGCGTCATTTATACCCGGTCGAAACCCAAAATACCCGACCGGGTATCGCGATCTGGCAGCTGATAAAAGGAAGAAGAAGGCCAACATTGAGGGGTTCCGAGTTTTTGAGAGAGAAATCGATTCCTAGAGAGAGAAAGCGACGAACCAGAGTTCCCAAGTGCTATAGCTTGATCTTCATCACCATTGGAGCTCGGCTTGAGCTTGGAGAAGTGCCGATTAACCGTCCAGGAGCAGAAATCCGTCTTCACAGTATGATTTCCGCGTCTGAATCTGCTTTTGCTTCTTTCTCTATGGAGTAGTTCCCCCATTCATCTGGGTATGGGGAACCCTAGATTTGTATGCTAGGTCTGATTGTATGAACCCAAGTACAGAGTTTGTGAATTGATTATATTCGATTGAGGTTTGAATGATTGAATGACTTGAATCCTGATCAAATTCCTGTTGTTTCTGCTTTGACCTAGAATGAGAATATCTGCCTAGATTGATAGAGTATCCTTAATCGAAGGTAGCGAATTGGTGACTTTAGTCGAGGAGCCAATTCGCTATTCTATACCGAATTCCATTCGGTAGTGGAGGTTTGGTTCGTTAGGGCCTCAATCTGTTTACTCCGGTGGAGGTTAGTCGCCCGCTAGAGACTCAGATTGAGAGGGTCTGGAGACCTTTAGTCGAGACTTCAGGCTATTTAAGAACCTTCCGCAGTATAACTTTCATAAAAAACTGAACTTGGAAAATTGCAATCCGACTTAACTGCAGTCTAGGGGGAACCATATCTGGGTGACCTCTCTTGACTTGAACAACCGTTTACATGCTTTGTGTTTTTGTTTGCTTGAGTTTGCACTAAAAGTTCACTGCTAGATAACGAGAATTCACCGAGTAGTCATCACATCTAGGACCCGGGTTGACAATAAAACCCAAACCCGCTATACTACGCTTTAGGAAGTGGTTACACTTGGCCATTTTCTAGAGTGACAGTAGGAGTGAGTCAAGTTTTTGGCGCCGTTGCCGGGGACGGCTAGGTTGTTGAAGAAAAGTGGTTTCTGTTACTTTAGCATTTTCATTTTCGCATTGAGTGTTTCTTCTTTCCCACTTGTGCCTTCACGGGTTTGCATTGCTTGATTGTGTGCAGATAGTGCATGACCCGTAGCAGTCGGGAGGTTTACTGCCGTTGGATCCAGAGATTGAATGCACCAGCCGCCAACTTAGGAGACAAGAGCGAGCTAGACTGGCTACGGAAGAGCGCAGAGACGGCCAATTAGGCAGTGAGTCCGAGGACGAGTACGAGATGGAAGGCGATCACAACCCACTGATAGACCGATAATCATACATGTTTTCACCCCTATTCTGAAGTCGTTTGTGATGAGGAATCTCGTATTTTAAGCCGATTTTACGCTAGGTTGTGTGTTTATGTCATATTTCAGGTCCTGGCGTTGGAATCGAGGCGAAGGAACGAGTTCCGGATCGAAAGGAGCGAAGATTGGACAAAGGATGCTGCTGGACCAAAATACCCGGTCAAAGGAAGAAATACCCGACCGGGTATATTCTGGCCTCGACCGGGTATTTCCTCCTTCGGGCACCCGTGAGAAACAGAAGGGGGCCCGGGCGATGGCGATAAATCCCCGGTCGGGGATTTTGGTGGTATACCGGGGATTTTCCCCTTTAGTGGAACGGCGCGTTTCGACAATACCCGGTCGAACCATAAAATACCCGACCGGGTATTTCGACCGGGTATCGCGGGGTCAGCTGATAAAAGAGGAAGAAGGCCAATTTTCAAAGGGTTCCGAGTTTTTGAGAGAGAAATCGATTCCTAGAGAGAGAAAGCGTCGAACCAGAGTTCCCAAGCGCCATAGATCGATCTTCAACACCATTGGAGCCCGTCTTGAGCTTGGAGAAGTGCGATTAAACGTCCAGGAGCAGGAATCCAACTTCACAGTATGATTTCCGTGTCTGAATCTGCTTTTGCTTCCTTCTCTATGGAGTAGTTTCCCCATTCATCTGGGTATGGAGAACCCTAGATTTGTATGCTAGGTCTGATTGTATGAACCCAAGTACAGAGTTTGTGAATTGATTATATTCGATTGAGGTTTGAATGATTGAATGACTTGAATCCTGATCAAATTCCTGTTGTTTCTGCTTTGACCTAGAATGAGAATATCTGCCTAGGTTGATAGAGTACCCTTAATCGAAGGTGGCGAATTGGTGACTTTAGTCGAGGAGCCAATTCGCTATTCTGTACCGAAGTCAATTCGGTAGTGGAGGTTTGGTTCATTACGGCCTCAATCTGTTTACTCCGGTGGAGGTTAGTCGCCCGCTAGAGACTCAGATTGAGAGGGTCTGGAGACCTTTAGTCGAGACTTCAGGCTAATTGAGAACCTTCCGCAGTATAACTTTCATGAAAACTGAACTTGGTAAATTGCAATCCGAATTAACTGCAGTCTAGGGGGAACCATATCCGGGTGACCTCTCTTGACTTGACAACAAACCGTTTACTTGCTTTGTGTTTTGTTTGCTTGAGTTTCACTAAAAGTTCACCGCTAAATAACAAGACTTCACCGAGTAGTCATCACATCTAGGACCCGGGTTGACATTAAAACCCGACCCGCTATACTACGCTTTAGGAAGTGGTTATACTTGGCCATTTTCTAGAGTGACAGTAGGAGTGAGTCAAGTTTTTGGCGCCGTTGCCGGGGACGGCTAGGTTGTTGAAGAAAAGTGATTTCTGTTACTTTAGCATTTTCATTTTTGCATTGAGTTTTTGTTTTTCCCACTTGTGCCTTCACAGGGTTCGCATTGCTTGATTGTGTGCAGATAGTGCATGACCCGTGGCCAGTCGGGAGGTTTACTGCCGTTGAATCCTGAGATTGAGCGCACCTGCAAACAACTTCGGAGACAACAGCGAGCTAGATTGGCTACGGTGGAGCGCCGAGACGGCCAATTGACCAGCGACTCCGAGGACGAGCACGAGATGGAAGGCGATCAGAACCCGCCCCCTCAGAACCAGATCCTGGGGAACGACCAACATCCCCAGGGAGCTGGCCACCATCATCATCCACCACCACCGGGTCCCACCTTGGAGTACTACTATACTCCACGGATTGCTGACATCCGCCCGGTCATCCTCTATCCGCCCATCCCTGCAAACAACTTCGAGATCAAGCCATGCTGGATCCAACTCATCACATCCTCTATCCAGTTCCATGGCTTGAAGGATGAGGAAGCCCGGGTACATCTTTCCCGTTTTCTGCAGCTGACGAACGGGTTCAAGTTGAATGGTGTCCCGGATGACGCAATCCGCCTTCATCTCTTCCCCCATTCTCTGGCGGGGAATGCTAAGAGGTGGTTGGAGACCCAGCCCCCATTGTCCATCACCTCTTGGGACGATCTGGCTGACAAGTTCGTGCACCGGTATTATCCGGAATCGAAGACCACGGAGATACAGCGGGAGATCACTCACTTCCGCCAAGAGCCAGATGAGTCCCTTCGTGATGCATGGGAGCGGTACATGGGATACTTCTGGCAGTGTCCCCATCATGGTTTCAGCGCTGCCTTCACAGTAGGAAACTTCTACAGCGCCCTCACTCCAGATAGCCAGAGGGTGATCGAGTCTCTATGCCCAGGAGGGGATATTCTCACTAAGACTCCACCCGAGCTGAACCAGATGATCAGTACCTTGGCTGCCCGCGATCATTCTTGGGGACAGAGCAGCAGGGGCAGGAATGCCCGGGACCGGGGTGTGCATGCTATTGAGGCCAGATCCGGATTAGAGGAGCAGGTGGCTGAGTTGGTGCAGACGTTGAAGCAGCCCAACAGTCTTCTTCCGGGCCGAGGTGTAGCACCGTCTCCAGTAGCTCAGTGTCAGTGGTGCGAGAGTCCAAACCACCTGGTGGAAGATTGTCAGTCTATGAGGGAGTCCTCTACTCCCCAAGAGCAGGTGGACTTCATCGCCAATGCTCGGCGCCTGGACCCATACAGCAACACCTACAATGAGGGGTGGCGCCAGCATCCCAACTTTGCTTGGAGCAGCAACACCAACAAACCACCTGGTTTTTTTTTTATAATGGTGATTGAATTGGATTAAAAGGAAAAAAGAGGGAAAGATACAGGGAAAAGCGGGCAACGGTTCACAAAAGGGTGAACCAAGAACCCAGCAGACACAAAAGGGACAGACAAAACAACAGCTAAAACAGCTGCGGAAAACACCAAAACGGAACAGAGAAAAACAGAAACGGGGCAAGGGTCAGAGAAACCCCAACAGAAACCCCGGAAAACTAGCTAATTGGACCGAGCCAACCCTGCTAGAAAACGAAACAGAAAACAGCAACCACAACCCCGACAGCCCTCCAAGAAGCACACAAACACCCCAAGAGAGAGACAAACAGGCCGAGCAAGGGAAGAAAAAAACCAGTCGCCCATTAGGAGGAGGGGGGGCGTCGACCGAGGCTCAGCAGATGCTCCTCGGCCCACCGCAAACCTTGGGATTTATCCACCTTCCCAAACGCGATAGCCCAGTCCAAAGCATCCCTCAGCACCTTACGAGTGACGACCCTAGCGTGCAAGCGAGCATCTCTGAATACTCTTCTATTCCTCTCCAACCAAATCTGCTAGCACAAAGAGTGAAGAAGACCGAAGCAGACCCAACTGTTAACACTGGAAGCAGGACAAGAAGGCCACTCTCGAATCATGGGAACGATGTCTCTGCTTGGGCCTGCAAAAAGACCACAGACCCTTCTTGAAGCACTCCACACGTCCCTAGCAAACTCACAGTAAGAGAAAATGTGATTGATGTTCTCCTCCTCATTGCCGCAGAGCTCGCATCTGTTGGCAAGCTGCCAGCCCCTGGCCTTCAAGTTGTCGATGGTGAGGATTCTCTTGTGCACCATGAGCCAAACAAAAAAGCAGATCTTAGTCGGCACAATCTGCCTCCACACAGACTCATCCGGGAAATCCGAAGCTCCGCTGAACTTGCCATCCACCAAGTACCTGTACATAGAACGAACAGAAAAGGAACCATCCACATCGGGTAGCCAAGAAGGCCTGGGGGGCCCACTCGACACACAGCTGGCGCCTCTCGAATTAAGTAAGTTCAAAAGCTCCACTCTCTCCCTATCCGCTCCCCCCCTAAGATCAACGGACAAAGGAATATGCCAAGTGACAGAGTTACCTGAGAGGGACGCGGCGTGCGAGACCCTGGCGTTCGGAGAGCTAGAGGCAGCAGCAACTCTCGGGAATTTCTCAGCAAGAACCACTTCAGGAATCCAGCTATCAAACCAGAAAGAGACCCAAGCACCATTCCCAGCATCAATGTTAGCCAACTGCCAAAAATTATCGTACTCTTTGGAGATATTCGCCCAAACAGAGCCCGAGAACCCCTGACGGCATCTAACAGTGCGCCAATCAGAGTGGTGGCTCGGGAATTTCAAGCTGATCAACTCCCTCCACCAACTACTGCTCTCATTGGCGTACCGCCACAACCACTTCCCTAACATGGCCCTATTAAAGGACTCGAGGTCAATGATCCCAAGGCCGCCCCGCGAGATAGGAGCTTTGCATATATCCCATCTAACCAAAGCAAATTTCTTAGCGTCGCCCGAACCACTCCACAAAAATCTTTTTTGGACACCCTCCAACCTTTTCACCACAGAAGAGGGAGCACGAAGAAGAGAGAAGAAGTAGACCGGTTGACTCGAGAGCACAGCCTTGATCAAAGTTAATCTGCCTCCAAAGGAAAGATATCTACCTTTCCAACCCTCGAGCCTCTTCTGATACTTATCCACAACTGAGTCCCACACCGAGATAGCATTAGGATTTGCTCCAAGAGGAAACCCCAGATACTTGGAAGGCTCCCCACTCCACTTACACCCAAAGATAGCAGCAAAAAACTCCGGATTTGGGACGTCCCCAACTGTGAACATAACCGATTTCTCCAAGTTGATCCTGAGGCCAGTGACTGCCTGGAAGCAAACCAAAGTGGCAAGAATATTGAGAACCTGGCTATACTCCGCGTCGCAAAAGATTAATGTATCGTCTGCAAACAGCAAGTGGGTCACCTCTCCCCCACCATTCTCCTCGTTCATGAAGAACCCATAAATCTTCCCACTGCTCCTAACCCCCGAAATCATAAAGGACAGGACATCCATAATTAAGGTGAAGAGACCTGGGGATAAGGGGTCACCCTGTCTCAACCCTTTCTGTGCACTGAAGAAGCCTTTCGACTCCCCGTTTATGAGAACTGAGATCTTTGGGCGGCACATGGTCCCATCGATCCACTTCAGCCACTTCTCAGAGAAACCCATCCGAGAGAGGATACGAAACAAACAACTCCAGTTAACATTATCAAAAGCTTTCTCAATGTCTAACTTGAACATCAAACCCGGCTTCCTGCTCTTCTTCCTGCTGTCAACAAGTTCAAAAGCAATAAGACCCGCGTCACCAATCTGCCTACCCTTCACAGAAGCATGCTGGTTGGGGGAAACAAGATACGGTAGAACACGACCCAATCTGCGCGATAAAACTTTGCTAACCAGCTTATTAAAACTGCCCATGAGACTGATAGGCCTCAAATCCTTGATGTCTTCAACTGCATCTTTCTTAGGCACAAGACAAATAAAGGAGTGGGTAACGCAATCCGGCAGGAAACCAGTAGCGAAAAACTCTTCAAAGGCTTTGATAACATCAATTCTGATCCAATTCCAGCTCTTCTTGTAGAATTCCCAAGTGAAACCGTCCGGCCCCGGGGCTTTCCCACCATCACTATCAACAATACTAGCCCAGATCTCCCCCTCCGAGAAAGGCATGTTAAGAATCCCAGCATCCGACTCCGAAATCCTGCAGCAGGTATAGAAGAGAGGGAAGGGCCTAGAGATGAGACTCTCCCGGAACAATCCCTCATAGAAGTTCACAACACCTGCAGAGATCTCCTCCCTTCCTTCAATAGTAGTACCATTAACCTTGATACGCCCTATGTGATTAACTTTCCTTCTATAATTGGCGCATCTATGGAAATACCCTGAGTTCCTGTCTCCTTTGTGAAGCCACAGTTCCCTCGATTTTTGCCTCCAAGAGACTTCAAGCAAATCAAGGGTGATGCCAATATCAGTTAAACATTGCTCCCTCGCTCTCACCTCCTCGAATGACAAGGGCCTCAATTCTTCTTGATGATTTAATTCCTGAGCCTTAGCCATAAGATCCGCAAGCTTCTTATTCTGATCCCCAAACACCTCCCTGTTCCACACCGAAAAACAAGCCCTCTGCCTTGAATCTGCGAAGCATACCAACTGCTCATCCCATCAAAGAACCTAGCATCTTCCAACCACATATTCTCAAACTTCCACGGCCTGTGCACCCTGCGGCTGTCGCCCCAAGAAATAAGCAACGGATTGTGATCGGAGACAATGCGCTCAAGAGCAGTGAGGGAACAGTCAGAGAACATAGTATCAAAACTCGAAGAGACAAAGGCCCTATCAATCCGAGAGAGACAGTTGCTATCCCCTCCTCTGCTCCAAGTGAAAAGACTTCCCCCGAGCGGGAGCTCCATAAGCTCACAAGCGTCGATAACCGAATTGAATTCCGACATAAGGTTTAGACTCCGACGGCCTCCTCTGTACTCGTCATGGCTACGGACTAAGTTGAAATCCCCAGCGAACCAAATAGGTTCTGGATTCTCGCGGCCAATAGAGAGCAGCTCGTCTAGAAAAACCAGCTTATCCTCCCTATCTTGGGGCCCATAGACAACCACCAATCGCCAAGACTTCATGGTAGCAATCTCCTGCAGAAAAACCTCAAGGTAATGCCTCCCTTCTCTGCTGTTAGTCACATTAAAGAACTTTTTATCCCAGAAAATAACAATTCCCCCACTACTGCCAACCGCATTCTTGGAAACCCACCCAGAATTAGCCGCACCACCAACACTCTTAACCTTGAAATCATCACAGCTTGCCCACTTGGTCTCCACCAAACCCACAATATTGGCTCGACTGCTGTTCACAATTCTCTTTACTCTAGCTCTCTTACCCCCATCACCCAGCCCTCTCACATTCCACACCAAAACCGAGCAGGCCATAAAGATACAAACGCAGATCAGACAACCCTTTTCTTCCTCCGCCTAGACTCTAGCGGCGGATCCACGATCGGCCCAAGGCGAATCCTTTCCATATCAAGCTTCGATCTGCTGGGGCGGACTTTCCTCTGGTGAAGATCCGAAGCCTGATTCTTAATCACCTGCTCAACCTCGCCTAGACCCCCCTCAACATTTAAGCCAAACAACTCCCCCAAATCAACACTCGCAGAAGCCAGTGTGCCCAAATCGAAAGGGAAAGAATCCTGACTCCACTCTTTTTCCTTACTGTCAGCCACACAAGACGGAGAAGGCAAGAACAAGTCGAAATCAAGGTGGTTGTTCTCCACGCCACCCGGGGAAATGGACTGAGAGGGAGTAACCGGCGGCGAAGCAGGAAGAAGAGGCAGGGTCTCTGACGAGCTCAACCCCCCCGCCGAATCAGGGAATTCGAGCTCCTCAAGCAGGCAGGGGCGAGTGGCAACATGCTTGCCCATAAATGATATAGCCCAAGGATTAGAGGGGCTAACTGAGGTCGTCACTTCCAGGCAGCGAAGAAAATCGCACAAAGAAAGAGACAAACCCGACCCCATGTCTGCATAACCTTCAGTCGGGGCTAGAATGGAAATGGAAAAGGAAAAGGGGTTCTTGGGAGGCTGCAGAAGAAAGTCAAGGAGAAAGAAATTGGCCTGCGAGGCCAAAGAAACCAAATTCTTACTCCCTGAGGCCTGGTAACGAAGCCCAATATCCTCACCACTTCTATCACCCTTCTCCAGCAAACTACTAGCCCCAAAAGGCCAACAAGCCGGCCCACGGACGAAACCAGCCTGGCCAAAGTTGTTGGGCTTGAGGACCGGCCCGGCCTTTCTTACCCAAACTTGCTTGCTTGCCCCAGAGAGAACGCCAAACCTACTGACGTTGGTACCAGAATGAATAGTCCCATGCAGATTGGAGGCGGCTCCTTTTCTTTGATACAAGAAACGTCCCTTCGTATCCCTCCTAGGAATCTGCACACCACGCCTGATCAGAGCGCCGCCCTCTGAAACCACAGGCCGATTAAACTCCTCTTCTCTCATCTCTCGAACCTTCTTCGCCGGACTCATCGCGCTCGCACCGGCCGGCGAGAAATCAGGCGGCGAGCGAACATGAATGCTTAAACAATGATCTCCATAGACCAGCGGGATTTCGTCCGGAATAGACCCATCAGTTTTCACCCTTATCCTGACAACGGAGGAGCTCCAAGAGTTCCAATCGACCTCCACCAAACCGCCGCAAAAATCTCCGATAGTTCTGATCAAATTAACGCTCTTGAGATGCAGCGGAATTCCAAATACCATTATCCAACGAGCATCAGATGGCAATATCAAATTGTTGACAGCTTCCTTCCACATAGAGGCCTGGACAGAGAAGCTCTTGAACCTAAGGTGATCAAGCTCTTTAATCCGAAGAAGTTCACGGAGACTCGGACAGTGAAGAAGCCACCTGCCGTCCTCCAATTCCTCCAGGCCGTAATTGGAGTCAATCAACCAATACCTTTCCGCCCACCTTCTAAATTCTCCCACCTGTGCTCTCGTGAAAATCTCATCAGAGGAAGAACAGAAACTTAACACCAAGCATCTTTCCAAAAAGCTAATCCTTTCAGATACTCCATCAGAGCCGACCTTAATATAACGTCCGTCCAGGTCTGTAACAATCGAACAGCTGCCCGCCCCATAAAAACCTCCTCCTTGAACGACTTCAGCGTAGGTTTTGCTTGCCGCCGCGCTCGCCGGGAAACATGGAGCCACCGGGAGGTCAACCGCCGCAGGAGACGAAGTCAACTCCTCAACCCGCAGACGTTGTTCCTCATGATAAAACTGCTGTAGCAGGGAGATGATGCAAGCCCACCCCTTGAAGGGACCCGCTGAAGGGATGAGAACCATGAAAGAATGGCCACCCAAACCTTGCTCAGAGATCTGCAACATATCCCCATTCCTTCTCCTCGACCTGCCCACATGGATCGTTCTCATCCCACTCTTTTTCACACAACCCGCCGGAAACATCCAGTTGCGCATCGCCGCTGTTTGCAAAACCCCTTGAAGCCACGCCAGCTGCTTCTCGTCCATAACAATGGACCACTTCTTTCTTTCGTCCTGCACTTGGAATCTGTACCCTTCCATACCTCCGAACAGCCCTTTGCTAAGCCTGATTGATCTAGACCCCGTCTGTAGAACCTGCTGAATAACAACCCGA